TATTTAAAAATCTCCAAAGAAGGAGACTCCACCACACTCTGAGATTCATTAGGAATCTCTGTAGACGAAGATGAGGGAACTTGGGGCTGGGGATTGCCAGGCAGCGACTAGTGAAGAAAATCTCTCATTCCCATCTCGTCTGCTTTTCCTCAGGTTATCTCAACAGAGCGGGATCCCTCTCTGCCAGATGCTCTTCTTTGATGATGAAAACCGCAACATCTACGATGTCAGCAAATTAGGTACCCAGAGAAGTGTGTGCATGTTATTCCCTCGCTCCCATTTCTCAAGAGACATCCTATTTGTGTAGTTTAGATGGTGTGGCCCATCACGAGTGCAAAAATGGTCACTGTTCAAGGGTGGATCTGCGCTGTAGAAATAATAGTTTGACGCCACTTTTAACTGACATGGCACCATTCTATAGAATCCTAGGGTTTGTAATATTGTAATGCACCAGCACTCTTTGGCAGTGAAAGCAAAAGACCTTTTAAAACTACAGATCCCAGGATCCCATAGGATGGAACTATAGCACTTAAAGTGGTGTCACACTGAATAATATCCACAGTGTAGATGCTCCCCTGTGGAGTTGCCCACCCCTGGCATAGCTAACGCCTGAGTGGACATTCAAATGGTCTGAGCTGCTGTACGGCAGCTTTTATATATTTCTTTAAAAGCCAGGAGGGAAATACTAGATTAATTTTTTCTCCATTTTCTTGCAACAGGAGTCACATGCATTCTCGTCCCCAACGGCATGAATCTTTCTCTCCTCGACCGCGGCTTGGAAGCCTTTGCTCCTTCCTGAATCTTGTCGAAAGCTTTCCAAAACTTGGCATTTCCTCTTCTTGCGTGTCACAAGTGGAGCGTGCCAAGGTGTTTAGATGCTACAAATAAACCATACGGGTGTTTTTCTCTGCAGTTCACATCTATATCCATATATTGATCTGTGAACAGCCTGCGGTGGTCATGGGTGTCTTTCAGATATCTTGCTTTCCTTGATGCCATCCACAAAGCCTCGTGCAAATCCAATGTTGCAGTTGATAGAAGCATAGAATATCTGCAGCTTTCTTCATTTTTTCCTGGCAGAATACTTTGTGCACTCATTGCCTTGCCTCATGCAGAGTTTTGTGGAGCATGGAAGCCTGCCTGTTCTTCTTCTCCCCTATGAGAAACTACACTTGGCCCTCCACATTTGCAGTTTTGACTTTTGTGGATTTGATTATTTGCTGTTTTGATTCATACATTTTCTTTAGGAATCTTCCAGTGCAACTCTGCCAGAAGTTGACCGTAGAGTTGTGCTGGAGAACGTAGAACAGGGGTAGGCAACCTTTCTCCTTTAAGGGCCGAGGGACTTCAGCTCCCAGAAGCCTCAGCCATGTTGGCCAATAGTCCCATGTTGGCCAATAGCTCCTGGGATTTTGGGAGCTGAAGTCCCTCGGCCCTTAAAGGGGAAAGGTTGCCTACCCCTGACGTAGAAGTTCCTAGAGAAAACACTTTCCTAGGTATTTGTAGGTCCTGCAGCATGATTCTCTGGTCAACGTCTGGCAGATGATGACCACAGAGTTGCACTGGAGGACCTGGAGATTCCTAGAGAGGTGTTCTTTTAGGTTAAAAGAATAGTATTTTTTATTATTGGCAGTTTCTCCACGTTCACGGGGGTCCTACACCCCTGACCCCAGCAAATGTGGAGGGACCGCTGTCATCAAAGCAGATTATATTACAGGTTTCAGTCTCCCTGATCCTAAATGCCTGGGACCAGATGTGTTTTGGATTTTGGATGCATTGATTTATTTGGATTTTGCAATATTTCCATCATGTGATACATCTTGTTGGAGATAGGACCCAAGACTAAAGACAAAAATCATTTACGTTTCATTTTTGGAGCAAGTGTGTTTTCTGCAGCTCCAGAGATCAGGACCCAGAGCAATGGAGTCAAACTACAGGAAAACTTTAGGAAGAATTTCCTAACCGTAAGAGTTGTTTGACAGTGGAACACACTCCTTTGGACGGTGGTAGAGTCTCCTTCTTTGGAGGTTTTTAAACAGAGGCTAAAAGGCCATCTGTCGGGGGTGCTTTGATTGTGTATTCCTGCATGGCAGAAGAGGGTTGAACTAGA